ACCGAATAGTTGTAGGTGAGTGTCTTAATATTTTTTTATGGTCATATAAATTATATTGTTACTTTTTATGTTTTTATGGTTGATGTTTAAAAGCCATAATTTTACAAAATCAATCCTTGAAATTTGGTTATTCTTAAATTTATTAATATTTTCTTCGATGAATGCAATTTTGTTATTAGTTGTTCCTTTTTTCTTCATAGTTGTTTTTATCGCTGCTTCAATTGCAAATTTAGTGTTAATTTGAATGTTTTTTTTAATATTTTTAAAATTGTATAAATATCTGGATATTGATAAAAAAAAACGAATTAAATTTGGAACGGAAACTCTCGCAGGCATTTGTTGTCCTTTTTACACTACTTGTCATTTCTGCTCACATAGAAATTGGAAATTTTGCTTCAGAAACAATATAATTTTCTGTCAAATAATTCATAAAATCTTGATGTTTTTCATGCTCTGGCATTATAGACATAAATTCTTCAAAAGAAAATTTCTCAACATCATCTTAACGAAATTTCCTTTATAACAACAAAAGAAATTCGGTCCCTTGGAGTTCGTTGTAATGGAAACTTACGGAATCGGGTTCTTCAGTTAAAGTAGTTGATAAAACCTCGGACGCACCCAGGCTATACGATAAAAACTGCAGATTAAATCGCGGACGCACTTGGGAAACCCCCAGAACTACAACTAAAATATTAAATTAATAAAGAACAATGATTTACAAAAGTCAAACACAATTTTTGAGATCGTCCCATCGGAAATTATATGTGACTATGTGTTAACCGTTTAAAAATAAAATTAATGTAATCTGCAACCCCCAAGACGTATTTCTAGAAAATAGTCTGCAAATAGTCAACAAGCATTTTGATTCAAGATGATCAATTTTTTTTTTTTAATTTTACAATATTTTGGTCATAAATTAAATGAAATAAAAACGTGGATGGAAAAATATTGATAAAATGAAAAACTATTTAAAAATTGCACCTAAAAATAAAAGTATATAATGGAAGAAATATGCCCTAAAAAAAAAAAAATTGAAATTGTATATATTTACATGCAAAATAAAATTTCTAGACTAGCTTTGTGAAAGCATGAAACATATTAATTTATTAATTTATCATGCTATTTTGTGATTATGTATAACAAATATGCAAATACTATACGTTCTCTGCCTTAGTAATTACATTTCCATATGCATGTGATTTTTTTCTAAAATAATTCATTATTTTTATAAAATACCATTGATTTTTCATAAGATATGTAGGTATCTAGAAACTGTGATACATGAACATTTTGTTATTAAAGGATTGTATTTATCAATAAGTAGAATATGAAGTTAATTAAAATTGTTTATCTTTATATTTTATAGCATTATTCTCAATTTGTATACATAGTATTGTTCGTAATTATGAATAGCTTCTGAACTGTATGTTAAATGAATAATAATATAACAATATAAAAAAACACAATCTACACGATAGGTTATTATATATTTAGTATACTGCATTATTTATACTCATTGTGAGTAGGTGACACATAAAATTAATGCCCTATCAATCAATAACCACAGCAAAAATGAAATCAAAATATCTAAGTGTTTTCAAAAGACTGTTAGAGACCTAGTTTAGTCAATAAATGCATTTTGTTTAATAATAATTATTGCGAGAAATAGTCTCTTTGACATATTTCTAATAGCATCTCTTAGGTTTCATCGAAAATTTAATTTACGTTCCTTATAATATTTCTCCAGCAACCCATTTAATTTTCGAAAGTTCACCAAATTCCAATGCCTTTGAAGTACATCTTCAGTTAGAAAGTAGCTAGAGATAAATTGCAGTGATTAATCCAATGTAAAGTACATTTTATAAACGTTCTCTTTTGTATTCATTACAACTCCGTAAACTTTTAAGAAAAACACTAATTATATTATTTTAGAGAAATGTATTGTCATGTTTTTAATAATTTATTGCAGTAGATACCATTTAATTTTAGCCAATAACAAATTCTTTGTTAGCAATGATTCATTCTAAAATACTAAAATTACTAAATAATCGATAAGTTATTGCTATCGTATTTGAATTTTATACATAGTAACATAGTATAACATAACAGAGTACAAATGAAAATATTTATTATTATTATTACTTAGATTTAATATACTATGTTAATACATAAATTTGAATTAATTAGTATAATATGTAAATAAAATTATATTACGATACTATAATATCAAAACTGAAATTATACTCTTCTATGGTATTTTAATATTAATATTTATAAAATACAGAATAGAGTTAAGGTTTCACTTTTGTAAATTGTGATACTACTATTCTACTTATTATGTAAAATTAGACTATGATGGTGGATAACAATTACAATCGTCTGTCTAAAGTTACATTAGTATTTATCATCAAAATTAATGTTATTCAAGTTTTATTTTTATAATTTTAAAATTTCACTTTACCGTTTGAATATTAAAGGTGTGAGTGAAAAAAGCTTATCACCAAAAAAAATTGTTATATACCTGTTATTTGTTTGGTACTTTCATTACATTATATTTACCAGTAAAATTCATGATAAATTGAAAGTTGCTTAGACAACGAATACAAAAGTGTTAATTATAACTTTTCAAGATATTGATTTTTAGGATTGTTTATAGCTTATGTATATAAATATATAAATAGTTTTTTCAAGTATTTTATAATAAACTTTTACGATATAAATTATTAAGAAAAAAAAACCAAAATTCAGAATGTCCATCAATGTGTTAAAAGTCAAATATCTGTAGAAAATAACACCACTTACATAAGAGTGTACAATATACCCTCGTCATATTTAGTTTGGCGTTCTTGGAATGCTATGGCCAGTAAATTGATTGAAAATGAATTCGAATGCGATTTAATGCTAAAGGAAATTATACATCTCGATCCTTCAATAATTTCTAATCAAATTCGGCGCGTACGGTAACAGGTTCAATACCTGTATCATCAACATATTTTTTTCACACAAAATGTTCACACCTATACACTCACGTCATCAACGTGGAAACATGTCAAATGGCGCGTTTAATTATAATCATTAAAATAAACGATTCATTTATAAAGTTGAAGCACAAAGACCAATACTATTACCTTGTGTAAATAAATATATTCTTTGTTGTGTAACTCATGCAATATTTATGTAATTAAATTTGAAAGCGATCATGTGCAATTGATTTCAAAAAAACAATACACAATGAATTCTTTAATATATATATATGTATTGAAATAATTTTATCCAATCTTCTACTTCTTATCGTGTCCGGTTCTAGGTTTAATAAATACTAATTGCATTAAAATATAAAAGTGTTAATTATTTTGCTTCCGCCAGTGGGTAGCTATTTATATAGCGTTTTCATTAGCAAGCCCCAAGTTGTCAGTTGAGCATCCTGACGGGGCAAGGATAAATTTTATGGTATTAGGTGTTGTCTCTCGCCGCATTGAAAAATTTCAGGTCCTTCTTGGTATACTCATTTCACCACGTTGAACTCTTGTCTTAGCTATTCTGGCTCTCAGCCTATTTATCGCTTACCATATGGTCCATGGTTGATTTCTGCCTGGGGGTAATCGTTCATTGGGCGGGACAGGTGTTTCAACTTGTAGTTCTTCTCTCCATTTACGTAATTGAATCTGATCGGGCAGGGGGGGAGGGCTGGATTACATTCGTTTTAGCAATAAAACTTCTATTTTATCCAATATAATTGTTGCTCAAATCTATTAGATAACAAAAATATTTAATAAACTTATATCAAAATTACAAATTTTATAACACAATTTTGAACACTCGATTTATCTAAAAATATCTTTATTTAAAATAAAAATGAATATTGACAATATTATTTAAAGATTTCAAAAATACCTAATTCTAAATTTTAAATGACAATCAAACAAAATATGATAAATCTTCTGAATTTTTGACGCTTGGTAAAATGGTTCAACATATATCTTAAATTACATTTTGAAGTCAGAAAATACAAAGTAACTCGTTTTATCAAAATAAATATAAATGGTTGGAAAATAAGTTTCTTTTTTTTTGTTATACTTTACATTGAGGAAGACTTCTGAGAGAGTTGAAAAATGGCTTGTCTATAGTTCAATTTCTCATCTAAGAAGTACTCTGCTTGAAACTTTTGGTGCAGATTTTTGTTACCGAAAAAAGTTTACCGAAAAAGTATTGTAAAACCAATATATTCCTTTTGCTTTGTTTAGAATCTAAAACACCATGTAGAATTGATGTCTAATGCATAATTATCTATTCATCTCTGTTAAACTTATATATGTTGCTTGAATTTCATGTGTTTGAAATAATTTATTTGTCTTTCATAGAAAATATAATAAATTTATCGGTGTGTATACACAAATTTAACATTATATCACCAGAGGTGGAACCAGGAATTTTTACGCCCGGGGAAAATGTTAAAATTATGCTCTATCTTAGACCAAGTACTCGTATCGAGAATTTTTTTCTGATAATAAATATACAATCATACTTAGTGAGTTTTAACCTAATATCAGTATTTAATAAAGTTAAAAATATCAAACTAGTTGTTAATAATTACAAAAATTACACCATCTAAAATTTTACGTCCGGGGATGAATCCCCATCTTCTATCTTCTAGTTCCGTCCTTATAGGATTTAAGCAATACATTTCTCGATTTTACTTAATCCGTCAAATGTCGAGTGGTATACAATTTCTATGGTGTAACCTATCCTTTTTTTGAAATTATATTTATATAAAATAATAAGTCGAATAATCTATAAACTTAATATATATTTTTATGCTCAAATTTGAATAAAATATAATTATGTATATTATGTATAAACAATTAAAAAAGGCTTTATTTAAAAAGTAATCATACATACTTAATTAATTACCCTAATTTTGCTTAATTGTATTTAAAAAAAATATAAACATTATATTGTTATTCAAAACATAATATAAACGTTTGCCTTTATACTTACAGGTCTCTGAGATGTGCACGCAACACACTACATACACACATGTTCACGTCATTTGCCATTAATAATCTTCTCTGGCTGTTATGGTACAGACTGGTCGTCGAGCATCCGTCAGTCGTACTTCACAACGGGGTATGAAAATTTCTGAGCCATTGTGCATAAATTTAACTGGTGAAGTAGATAGAACATTCTAACAAAATACCCAAAGGGTATTCAAACCCAGTACAATAACAATATTTTTTATCCTTCGTTATTTTATCTTAAAATAGACAATATACAGTCATATAATATTCAGAACTATAGTAATAAGATGTCATGTTTTCAAAATAAGTTTTATCTATAATTTTACATATAACTTATTTAAAAAACATGACATATAAAATTAACAGAAAAACATTATAAGGTCAATAGTTTTTTACTCATAAAATATTAGAAGTAATAATTTTTTATAAAATATTTTAATCCAGTGAAATATATCTATAATTTTACATAAAATAATTTTCCTTTTATTTCACTGGGTTAAAATATTTTATAAAAATTATTACTTCTAATATTGTATGAGTAAAAAACTATTGACCTTAAAATGTTTTTCTTTTAATTTTATATAGTAAATAAATAAATTTTTAGCCTGTAGTATTATTATATTTGTAAAGTACGAATTAAAAAAGTTTCGAATTAAAAATTCATCTTCAGGTATATATAGTCATTAAAATCATGAATTTATTTCTTTTTATTATTTTATTATGTAATTTATTAAAATATAAGCCTATATATACTCGTAATTATGGTCTATAACAAATTAAATAATTTAAAAGTGTGAGAATATTTAGACTTTTCAAATAAACCTCGAATATTAAATTATTAATTTATTTTATCATTAATTTCTAACAATTATTAAAAACGTTACAAAAAAATAGTCAAATCTAAAATAAAATACTGTTAATAAATTATTTAAACTATACCAAGAATAACAAAACTGAAGCATTGAGAATATGGTATTTTTTAATCTATAATATCCACGGTTATATAGATTCTAAAACAACAATCGACTACTAGCGGACTACAAAAGGCAGATAAATGGACCGGCAATATACCTTACTTAAAATGCATTAATTACATTTTTTAAATGTCTTTTATAATGAGAAAATAAAATAGTTTATTTGATTTTATTTGACTTAGATTATTGCCTCATAACAATTTTTTTTCTATGAAACTCGTTTATTTTTTTTATTTAATTCTTCCAAACTCCAATATAAATAATTTATCGACCTTTGTTCAATAACATCGTTTCATATTTTGATCCCAAAAATAGATAACAATTAAAGTCAATTACTTCACAACCCTCAAACTAATTTAAGCCTAATTATCTGTTTTAACAATTGCGAAATATATTGTATCATATCATAAAAAAAAACTATCAATAAAAAAATTAATCTACAAAAATATTTTAAGTTATCACTAGAAGATAGTTTACTTTTGCGTGTTTCAAATTTTGTACTACGAATAAACAATATTTTAAATGCAAAACAATTGTAAATAAGAATCTCATTAATTATTGCCCGATGCTTTTTAATTTTTCTAAATATGTATTTTATTTATTGTAAATACACGTTAAATTAAATCTGAACGAAGTGACACCCAGGTTAAGAAACGCTGTTCTATTAATATATATATATCTATCTAAATATATATAACTATATAAGTACATTTTTAAATTTTTAACGATGGTTCCGTTATTTATATCATAATGATATAGAGTCTATATATATTATAGACAAAGAGCTCCGATCAAATTAATTCACAAAATACTTAATTGTATTTATTCTATTCTCTTCATAGTTTAGCGACAAATAATAGTGCTAACTAAAGACCACGGTCACTTGAAATAATTATTCTATTACATGTTCTATAATGTATTCAAATGAAGTAAATATAAATTATTTAAATAAAATCCGTAAAAAAAAGTTATCTTAATATTTGTTTATGATTCATTAATGTTTAAATAATTACACTGAAAAATAAACTCTCAAATTTTCAAAAAAATGTTTCAGCTTTTGTATGTTTCGATTAATCATAAGTTTCTGATTTAAAGAAACCCGTCATGACCTATATCACTTTATTTAACTATGTTTCACATGAGATATTGAATATCCACTTGAATATTACTTTAAAATGTATCAACAAATACCTACATATTATCAATATAAATTATTTAAAATTACTTAATAACGAGATACTATTTTTTGTTTATCATTGCAAGGGGTGATTTTTTTAACGTTGTGTATGATTCATTATCAATTCATGCCTTTATAAATAATTATAATATTAAAAAAAATTACATTCATTTACATTAGTTACTATAGGTACTTATTATACCAATGATTTATTTTACTGTAAAATATTAAGCTTAAATGTATACTTATATCCATTGGCGGACGCAAGATAGATGGGTTAAAATGGTCGACCTCGCTTCCTTATGATTTATATTTTTGAACCCCATCTCTATGCTATTAAATATTATTTATTTGTTATTTATTTATTATATTATCATATATTAATCCATAAAACAGAGCCATTCATATTAGAATTGCCTGTGAAAAAATATAAAAAAAATTAAAAAATATAAACTCTGCTATAATTCCTAAGTGCAATTTAATGGGTCAACACTTTAATTAGATATCAAAGTACCTTTATAATTGTTCGCCAAATTATTCGATATAGAGGAAATAAATAAGCGTGTATTCTATCATTACTGGAACGCAAAGATGAAAATGATATTTTTCCAGTTATTCTTTCGTATTGGAAATAAATAATTTAATAAAACAAAATATGACTTTTTGTAGTAACATCTGTATCCATTTTTCGATCGTTTGATATACTTTATGAGACTTGTGGCACAGATTTAAAATCTGTAAAAGCGAAAGAAAGATAGAAAAAAATCATCAATATTGTGAAAACCTATACATTTGCTCGCCTCGCTCAAGATCTAAAGTAGTAAATACCAATTGGTTTTATATCGTTTAATCGCATTTCATACTCACTGATTCTATTGGCTTCCATCTATTCTTATTATATCACTACTAGTGTTTAAATATTGTTGATTTATATACATATTAAGATATATATTAAATATGCTTTAAATACAAATGGAAAGAATAACTTGAGATTTTAATTATAGAAATGATTAAATTTAAAAATTATGTAAAATATATATTTCACTATTGTTCAACATTTTTAACATAAAAAACAAAACAAATAATAAAAATAAAACAAAATCGAAAAATTGATTGGAATTGTATTTGAAGAGTATTTTTGCCAATTGTTACGTGAAAATACGTTATTTGCCTAGGATTTACACCCTCTTCACTTTTAAGGATTTACTTAAAACTCAATCTGGCAATCTGGTATTTGTGTTCAAGGGTAAATTATTTTTATTTTAAAATCAAATATTTATCATGTAGAGTAAAATGTATATTTTGCATGTAAATTATAAATATAAAAATAAACGCAATTATTCTGTCCAGTAAATAAAAATATTTAAATACTATTAAGCATTTTATGACATTGTAAATGTTATGGAGAATAACTTACTATGAATATTTAAAACCATATATTTTTTTAATAATTAAACAATAATTATTATTCTGGAAATTTATACACAAAAATATATCTCAAGGAATAAATGTTCGTTATTAATTTATCATGGTATTTTCTTATAATATTTATAACATTTTAATTTGCTCATATGATATTTTCGAAGCTATAATTGAAATCGAAGAAATGGTGCCCTTGACGGGCTTGACGTGTATCCTAATAAATTAGGTGACATTGGCTATATTCTTAAAAATTTTCATCCGCATCGGATTCCATTAGTCGATTATCAGTCACAACCCATTTAAAAGGTCTTGACAAGTGAACTTTTATCAATAAATGTATTGTTATATTGTTTTAACCAACTATTACGTCCAACCTTTCTCTAACACTCAAAACTGCAATATAAATGATTTATCTACTTTTTGAAATAACTAAATAGTAAATTCTGATCATTAATCTCAATAGTGTGTGATTTAAGTAGGTATTAATTGTTTTACCCTCTGGTTCTTGTAAAATAAAAAAATTATTGTCGTTTATTTTTTTTTTTTTTTACTTCTCTACGATAAAACATTTAATAATTACCCATTCAGCAAAGTGGTTTTATTGACGTTTTTCTATAGTTTATTGATACAAAAAAAGACTTGCATTGAAAATTAATGGTGTATAATCAAAGAAGCATTTGTAAATAAAATATCTAACGTAAAAGACCATCAAGGTAAAATATAGATTCAGTATAGGTTGGTAAATGGAAAAAAAGATATTAAAGTAGTAGTGTTTTTTACTATATAGGTTATTTATACTTCAACCTAATATATAAACACTATAAAACTACAAATAGGTAATACTTTAGTGAAATGTTTATTACATTTACAAAAAAAAATTTCAATTTTTCATTATAATATCCTTAGTATATTCTAATTGCAAGAAATATTTAATAATTTAATCACACGTCAATCCAGGTTTCATCGCTGTGCGCCTTCTTGGTCAATCCATTAAGTTAAAATTATTCTTTATAAAAAATGTACTTATTGTATAAAAGCTGTATCAGATTGTAAATATTTCAATAAAAGTATTTTTATAAAAAAAAAAATTTTATCACATGATAAAATCCAGAGATTATTAGAAGGCTTAGTTTCCTCCAAAATATTTCAACCTCAAATTCTTTATTGAATTTTCTTATATTAGTTTAATAATTTACTGCGTATTTTTCAGTATACTCTCTACGAGTGACACAACGTATACAATTTTAAGTACCATCTGCAAATGTTTTCAGTGTTCCGTCAATGGTTTAAAGTAATTCTCGATATTTAGTTTTAAATTCTGATCAATGCAAAGAATATGAATTGGTTTTTTCTGTAATCCAACTTTTGATGAATAAGGAGACACATCAACATTTTTATTGAGTAACATTTTACGTTATAAATTGTATAGAAATTATACATTTGTCACCTAATTTTTCAGTTTTATCTTCAGATTTTAAAATTATAAAGAAATAATAAGAATAGCTTGAAGTTATATACAATTTTAGCCAACAGCTG